TTTTATGACCCTCAAAGATTACAGTCAGAGCTTTAGTTGGTCAGCTGTGTGTGTGTGTGTGTGTGTGTGTGTGTGTGTGTGTATGTGTATGTGTGTGTGTGTGTGTGTGTGTGTGTGTGTGTGTGTGTGTGTGTGTGTGTGTGTGTGTGTGTGTGTGTGTGTGTGTGTGTGTGTGTGTGAGAGAAAGAATTGGGAGGATAAACACAGGAGGGGAGATAAAGCTTCAGGGTGTAAGGGAAACCGCTTACTCAGCAGTCTTCCAAACTTCAATCCCACACTCTCATCCTGACCCTCCTTTTATGAGTGATGTTCAGGAAGAGGCATTGGACGTGGATCAACATGCAGTTGTTTTTGTGTATATATTAAATACACACACACACACACACACACACACACACACACACACACACACACACACACACACACACACACACACACACACACACACACACACACATACATATACACACATACACTCAGAGACACTGAGATTCGCAATTCTGGCTAATGGGAAAGATAACAATCCTCATGAGTGAAAAAACAGACTTCTCCCTCTGGCGAAGGGTTGCATAATGGCAACCTGCCGTCTGTGGGATGTGCAATCCACTCAAGAAAATAAATGAAATTGGGGTCAGGACTCAAATAAAAACATCTCTCAGGTATAATGTGGCACTTCAGACATATTTGTGTGTCTCCTCCCTTCATTCTTCTCACAAAGCTCCTATTGGTATTGAGTAATCACTGCTTTCCCGCCGTATTGGGCCCATGTTGCCCAACCACCTCCACCACAACAATCCAACATTATGGAGCCATTAGCCGCTGACCTCTGGCTTTATGGGCAGCCTGGAGCTCTCATAGGCAAGGCTAGCTGAGAGCTCAGAGGATGAGACGAGACAGCACAGTGGGAGCTTTGTGAGATGAAACAAAACGCCGCTTCCAATTAAGATTGAGTCGAGAGCCTGTGCTGCTGTCCCTCCTCGTGTGGCTTTGGTAGTGTGCCAAATCAGTGCCATCCTGCGCTAAGAAACAGCCGGCTTCCCTCTCCTGGGTATTATTAAATCGTTTTGTTGCTGAACTGCTACATTTGTGTGGCACTTTTTTTCTTGCCAACTATGATATTGAGTCCCTTAATTTGCCATATTAGACTTGTTGACAGAATACAAAAGGCCTTCAAAATGATGTGTGTGTGCTTTCAGATAACTGTAATTAAATCTTCAGTCATTGATGACGGTGTACTCTCCATGTCTGTCACTTATATCTGCCCTTGAGGGAAATAAAGCAACCTATTATGCTTGTGGTCTGTCTATGCCGTCACACATAGATAAGAATGTGTCTCGTGGTAAAGATTTAATGCCATGTGCTTGCTCATATGTGCTTCATTTTCACTACGAACTTCCTGACAGTCTCCGATAGGTGAAAGGGCGTTCGGGTCAGAGGTGAAAGGGGGTGAGGTCACAACCTGTGCTATGGGAAACATTGCCATGGGAACATCAGAAGGCCATGGGGCTAAATGACTTCCTGTTGGCATGCGTTTGTCTGAAAACACAGGACAGACAAACATTTCTCATTTTCTATTTCAACTCGCCTGGTGGACACGAGTCTGATGGACCAATTCGCTGGAATCGAGAATATGTGCGTTTATGTCCTCTGTAGACCAGAAGCAGCGTTTATGTGTATCTGGAGGAAACTATATTTTGGACCAGAAGCAGCGTGATCATTAGTCAAAAAAGGATCTACTGTGGCACGAAAAGGAGCTCAAACGATCATCTATCACTCTCACAAACTCCCAGTCTTGTATTTTCCAGGATTTGGATCATAGTGATTTTATGTCAAAAAAGGCCCTTAGTTTCAGATCGGTTTCTGCAGGAAGCCACTTGCTTGGTTGGATATTTGAGAAGCAGTTTGAGAATGAAGTTTTCCAGAACTGATGGGACATTCAGCTTATTCCTGTTTACTTCTTTTGCCTCAAATCCTTGTTAAACTCGTTTTTTTTTCCTGTACCCAGAGGAAACATTGATTGTGAGTGTATGTGTGTATCTGTGTGTGTGTTCCCATGTTTGTGTATGTGTGCGGTATGCCGCTGTCATCACGTCAGGCAGAGCTGCATGCTTCTCTCCTGCTTTGTCAGCATTTACTTCTCACTAGAGGGAATACAAGTGAAGATCTGTCAAGATGCTGATTCAGAATAATTCAGTCATGATTTCTCACCCTGCACATTGATTTTCGTCATTATAATCACGCAGTATTGAAGGGTTGTGAAAGGAAAGTTAATAGAATTATCTATGATGACATGTTTGCCTAAAAATCAGGATTAGTGGTTGGATGTGTTAAATACCCACAGTGCTAAGGGCATTAACATAACCAGTTCAAGTTCTTGTTAAAATAAACTGCACATAAGCAGCGCTGCAAAAACAACAACTTACACTTAAGAGCTGATTGAGCTGCAGCATTGAGTAATGCTGACAATGAACTGAACACCGTAAGCCCTCTCATACTAAAACTGAACATACAGTAAGCAAGTATTCAAGTTCCCTGCTTTGATTTGGTTTATATATTCTGTGTTTTTGTGTTGGGAAATTGAGGGGAATATTTGTTTTTATAGTGTGAGTCACTGGGAAAAAAAGGATAACCAAACACAAAACCTCAGTGAGGAAGTCTTAGGACGCAAATGAGACATTCCAGTGTAGGTTGTTTAATTGCCCGCTCTCATTTCACTGCACTGCTGTTGCCAGATGTTCTGAGATGTTTGGCAACAACGATGATGGATGTCCCTGAGTTTAGAAAGCGGACCTATTGTGAAACTATAGGAAAACTCTCAAGTGTTGTAACAAAAGTCTACAGTACACAAAAATAAAGTCAAATCAATGTATGCACTGTTGGTGGTACTTTTGCCAAGTAATGATGAATGAATTTGTGAATAATAGTGTATTCATTTGACTAATGGTTTAAAGTAAAAACAGTGAATGAGGACAGCCTGCGAATGGAGCTTCACCCAACATGAACTTTTAATATGATTGGTCACAGATTCCAGAAAATTGTGCAGAAATGTTCCCTCCTTTCAGATGTGCCTGCATTTTGTTCCTATCTGCCAAACGATTATTACTTTTGGCAATTCATGTGGGCTCTAAAACCTTCCAAAATATGCTTAATATGAAGAATTACTATTCCTATTTAATTCCTTGATGCCAGATTAAAAAAATATTATAGTTCAAGTTATTAATCAATGAAGTGATACAACTTCTATCTGGGTAACAAAGTCCCAGATCATTTATAAATCCCAATCTCTCTTCTCAATGTCAAAAAACGAAACAGCTGTGCAACAATATTGGTGTCCAATGACCCTGATAAGATGTAAAGAATGTATTGATGCCCTACTGTATATGTAATGTATGTTTAAAAGCCCACTATTTTATTTATGAGGAATCGGATGCAACACAAACTGCTTCCTGCACACACACACACACACACACACACACACACACACACACACACACACACACACACACACACACACACACACACACACACACACACACACACACACACACACACACACACACACACACACACACACACACACACACACACACACACACACACACACACACACACACACACACACACACACACACACACACACACACACACACACACACACACACACACACACACACACACACACACACACACACACACACACACACACACACACACACACACACACACACACACACACACACAGCTGTTGCAGGCTGGCCTACAGCAGTGGATTTCCAGTCAACAGGCGAGTAAATACAGGAGGCATTCTACTCCTCCAAGTCACTCTTGGATCGCTCTCTTCGAGGGTTTGACGCAGTTCAAACCCCATTCTGCTGTAAGTGGGTCATCAAACTCATAAATCCCCCGTCACTTAGGGGGTTCTAGAGTCCATGCATGCGTAATGCAGAGCTTCAGACACACCCATTTCCCTCATCTTTTCCCTCTGTGTAATGAGTGTAATGACAACAATGTGTGCCTGAATAAGAGGAGGGGCGCTGGACTCGGGGTCAGACCCAGAGGAACAGAACTGTTTTAACTCTTCCGTGAGTCACCCCATGAAGAATCTGCCTATGACTGTTTTTACTGACGCATAACAAAAATGTCTTTATAACACACGCCACAAACATTTCAGTGGCTGGTATATTTTAAAATATGGTGTGGCTGGTGTGATATTGCATCCAGGTAGATTGATTGGAAGCGGTAAGCAGAGACAGTAAAGCTCCAGGATAGCCTGGACTCTGCGCGCCAGGCATGCACACCTTCTCCTCTTACTTCTGGGCTAAGGTTCAATCACGCAGGCAATGCTTTGATCCTGGAACACGGTCCCTATAAATGATAGTGACAACGACTCCTCCATATCCTGTAGCCCTTGGCATTGGCTGCTACAAGTGATACCGTATCACTACACACCTGTCTCTCTGCTCATTCACTGAGAGAGGATGTTGTATGTGGTTGCCAGCTGAAGGGCCAAACTTGGTAGGGTCTATTTTTAAGGGGGAGAGGCTGAGGACATGCAAAGGAAAACTGAGAGGTTTGGAATGATAGAATCAGACATGCTGTATGCAGGGTGGCAGACATAGAGAGACATACTGCTATGTGTCTTCTCACTCTATGTCTCAGTATATATGTGTACATGCAGGTAGCAACAGTATGTGATTAATGATGGAGGGACCATACTTCTGTGATGCATATTTGTATGTAGGGAAACATGCAGACTGGCCAAAGTTAACCCAATATTGCATTTATACTTATATGACCCCAATCTAGGTCACTCATTTCAGAGTGTGATGTATGTAGAGCAAATGTCAGAGACAAAGATTGCACAAACTCGTTCCCTAGCATCCTACTCCCGGAAGGTTATAGTTATAAATCCATTTATTTCTGGTAAATGGGAAGAGATACAGTAAACTGATCCAAAGTCTGGATAACATCCATCCTCAGCCCAAGCCAAAGTACAGTATGTGGATCAATTTTCTCCTTAAGAACGTCGTGTTTTGGCAATGGGGAGCTGTTATAAAAGCATGTTTCCACTTAAGCATAATTACAAGCATACATAATATGTAAAGTACAAATACAGGCACCATAAGTGAAGAAATATGCTTCACCACAACGTTTTACCACATAAACATGAACAGGTGAGAAGTTCATGACACAGTTTTCCACAATAAGGAGGGGAGGACAAAGAAGCTTAAGATCTGAGTGAAGCCAAGTGAAAGTAATGCCTAAAGTCCTCCAGCAGTCCAAATCTGAATTCAGCATGTGGATCTATTTCAATTCAGCATCACAGATGTCATCATCTCTGCCATGTGCATTTAAATTGAGCCCATCCATTATTAAACACCCATGCACTTCTCCTGGTCAGGGTCAGCAGTCGAGCTGGAGCCAATCCCAGCATGCATCAGGTGTCGTCCAGTCTATCATAGGATGAAAACATAGACCCATAGGGCTCTTCTTTGCTCCCATCACCTCCCACCAGCAAGTCTAGTGAACTGGAGACTCTAAAATGTCATGTAGGTGTAAAAGTGAGTGTGAAAAGAGCCCCCAAAGTTAAATCTGAAAGTTTAAACCATGTATATTGCTGTTGCCTTTCGGCAAACTTTATATCTTGATCTTATTTTCACAAGCATTACAGCAAGTTTGTCAGCGACGCGGCCTTGGTGAGGGAGTGACTGTGATTCCAGTAAGTGTTTTGAAACCACCTGCTGCTGCCAGATATCCCCTCCAGAGACAGCTGTGTGAATGTGCGTGCACGGGTTTGCCCTCATGTTTGCAAGCAAGCATGTGCACTTGCGTGTTGTGCATGTGTGTGTCAGAGCATCCAGCTCATGCATTCCTCTCAGATGGAGTCAGGGCTTTGGAGGAGACCCTGCTGCCTTGACTATTGAGTGTGTCAGAACTGTGAGGGAAACAAGAGAGGAAAAAGAGAAAGTGAGAGAGGCCAGATTGGAGAGGAACACTTTGTATTTTGCCACACACACACACACACACACACACACACACACACACACACACACACACACACACACACACACACACACACACACACACACACACACACACACACACACACACACACACACACACACACACACACACACACACACACACACACACACACACACACACACACACACACACACACACACACACACACACACACACACACACACACACACACACACACACACACACACACACACACACACACACACACACACAAAGACTTTGCTGGAACCTGAAGGCAATTTCCTCCTGTAGTTCATCCAGAAATCACTCAATAACTCAGGGACACCAGTTGTTTGGCTATGACAAATGTACAGGCGTGCACCCCCACGAGGACCCCCCGTCCTGAGCCCTCGGGACGTCTCTTGGAAGCCTCTTTCAGACCCTGGGTATACAACCAGTGTTGGTCCTCCTATCGTCCAAAAAGCCTCTTCCTGGGAGGCCTGATTACACAGAGGCTCAGTGAAGGATAAAGGAGCTGGATCTCTAATATTTATTTTTTTCATGCGTGTGTACGTGCGTGGGTGCTTACGTTTTAAACATAGGTTTTAAACCACTACACTTGTTTCCATATGCGTTCATAATGAAAGATTCAGGTAATTGTGCAGCCTTTTGTCCGTCGAGATTTTATTATTTTCAGCTGACCTAGAAAGTATATCCATCCAGCTGTATTCATTCAGTTCTGCAGTGAAGCCTAACCAATACTGAATGACCTGATATTGTTTTTTCAAAGTAAAATAAAATATAACGACCTATTGACTGAAGTTTTACTTAAATACTAAAGTACATTTTCAAAATTTGAGAAATGTCAAAATAAATGAAAATGCAGCCCAGAAAACTTTGTTAACTATAATAAATTGACATGTCGGTATATGTCCTCTTCCTGTGTCTCAGTATATTTGTATATATATATATCTACAATTAATGTTTTGAGCAGATGAATGATGAATGAATTGATGGATTTGTGTTGCATATTTAGATTTTAAGGGACAATGCACTATACAAATAACTGGCTGAGGAATCCATTTTATTTCTAGTTAACGACAAGGGATACTAAACAGCTTCTTTTCAATTGTTATTTTAACTCCTACATGCTCTATTGTGTTCACAATTAAGTCATCAATTACTTTTTAATTATTTAAAATGTGTTTTGTTTTTTTATCAAAGTTTCTAGACATTGGAAAACATTCAAGCAGTTGGGCACTACTGGAAAGTTTCTGATCGTGCTCTCTCAAGTGTTTCATGGTGTGTAAGCGGTTGAGAGCCGTGTAGCCGGTTCCTGAACTCAGCATCATTAGCATAATGTTGGACAGCATTTCTGAAAAGTCAACACTGATTTTTCAACATAAAGTGAACTTGTGAACTCTTGTCATCCTTAGTTTGTTCCACAAGATTTTCTCTCCCTCTCTACCTTTAAACACACACACTCACACACATTCTGTCCAAGTCTGGCTTCTTACCTGGCGGTTGACTCTCCCACATTAAACCAAACAGTCTAACCACAGCACAGCAACAAATCCTCCCAGGAGGGTCGCTCTTTGATCTCAATGTTGTCGCAGCTTACGGGTAAAATACACACAGACAGAACCCAGAACAAGATTCTGCTTCATGTTTTTTTACAACCCTGGAGACGTGAGTCTTACAACAGTCTACAGTTCTGCATAATTCTGCTATAAAGCATATGACCATTTCACTCCATGTATTACATCAAAATGTATTCAAGTAAGGTTTGAAAACATCCCTTAGGACCTTCCTAACTGCAGGTATACCTCATGTTGTTTTACAATGTTTTTTCAGATGTAAAGTTGGTGTTCAGACATATCTGCATTGACCCATGTCATTGATTAAATAGAAGCTGTAAATTAGTGGATAATTGGCACACGTTGATTTTTTTACTTTAGCCCTTTGCAGGAACCATTTGACCTTTGACCACAGAGCAGAGCCGAATGGAGGAAGATGAATGGCGTCAAATTATATAGTCCGAATACTTTAAGTGCAGCTTAATGGTTCATGCTTGAGGTTCCTATGTTGAACATTACATCACCTAATTAATGTGAACTAAACTATGCTGCGTGTTCGCTAATGTGACAGCTTGACGACCGTTTTAATGTGTGAGAGCCAAGCAGTGCTGGGTGTGTCGAGTGGAAGGGCTCCGGGCCAATCCACTGCCAGGGTAAAGAGACCCCTTCTAACTTAAACAATGTCATGAAATCTGCAATGGTGCTAATGTTGTTATTCGTATGGGAGAGCAGCTCAAGTATATAGTTTCATCTGAAAATGAAAGAAAAGCACGAGTATTTTAACCCAATAAAGAGAAATAGTGACAGTCACATGGTGGATTTTCACTTCTGATGATTTACAACACACAAATGTTTTATAGAGCTCATCTTAATCTTGCAGTTATATTGAAAACAACTTCCACTTCGATGGAAAACAGACTTCTTGGAAGTGAATTACCGACAACCCCCTTCTCCCCAATATGCCGTTACCCTGTAAAACTACTTCATCTTCTACTCCATGTCCTTTGACTTAAATGTTCCCCCTTTTTTCCCCTCTCTGCACCCCAACAGTCTGTAAAGATTGCCACCATATGTTTCAGAGAGGGATCCTACAGCATGTCTGGCTCCAGGGCCTTTGCCTGAGATACATGTTGGGCCTCTCTCTTGGCTCACCAACCTTGGCAACTCCCACTGCTCGGTACTTTACCTTTACATCAACATGGCACCAGGCCCATATCGCCCGAGGTTCTCTGCTTTCTGTCTCTTCACATCATCCATCCACCCCCCACAGCCCATCGCTGATCCAAGTCTTCCACCCTCAAACATTTTCACCTGAAACCTCCATCTCCATGTCCCAGTTAAAGGAGAGAAAACAATCCTGAGGTAGGCTAGAGTTACAGTTAATACAGTGACATTTGTTCATCTGTGACGAGAGGGGCCTGGTGGTAATGATTAGTGGTTACAGCATCATACAAATGTTCATGGATACAGAAACTGCTGTCTCTCTGAACAACATTGCAGAAAAAGTGGACATTTATTTTTTATTTATACCCTTTTTTAATTGGAGGCGGACCCAACATGATCTAAGTATAAGTCTTATTATGGAAGAAAATAACACACATTCCTCTAAAGTTTTTCATCACTTTTTATGGTATCATATTATAAGAATTGGGTTGTCAATGCGTTCTGTCGTCAGAAACAAATAACATGGAAGAGATACGTCTGCCAGTCATAGTTGTGGTGGTTGCTGCAGCCAAAGCTGAACGTGAGAGACTATTCAACAAACATCAGGATCACAGCACCCAGCACTGGGTACCTAACATTTTCACAATGTTTACCACACAGAAACAAATTGTGCAAGGCAATAATGAACACAGTCATCTGCCAAACAACAACAAAACCAACATCCCTTCAGTACCAAGGGAACTTCAAGCAGTAGGTCTAACTTTTTCAATAAACAAGTTACTTTGACTCTGGCAAACACAGATGCACACACATTTTGTTTTGCTAACTTGTAATTGATGCTAAGTTCAACTCCAAGATAAAGAAGAAAAATCTTGAAGGTACAAGTTTATGTCCAGTTAAATATAAGCTTTTCTTGATGTGTTTGTGAACCAGATGTCATAATATATTGTTTGTTCCATTATTGCAGTAGTTGATTTGCTTGTAGACTGTGAAACCATGCATCCTTGAAGAAAATACTGCCGGCTGGCAAATATATTCTTATTTATATAGGCTACTCATTCATATAGTCGAATTGATAAATACAACGTAAAGCAGGGTGTGATGTAATGGGCTTTTTAATTTGGAGTCTCGGTAAATGCGGGCTCTTGGTTGGCCCCCCCACTTCCCCCTAGAATGCCTGATTATGGGTGGGACCCTTACAGTGGAAAAAAACAAGTGTTTAATAATGACTTTAATAGACTCTGCATGTGGGACACAGAGATACTGTATAAGGTCCATGTGCTGCTGAGTACAATTTGTATTATTTAAACAAAATGTTGTTTATTTCATGATTTAAAAAAGGAGGCTGCAAAACAAAAGAGCTTCATTGTTGAGAGATTTTGAAAGAAAGAAATCACAAATATTGAAATTGTCAGGGAAGTGGCAAAGTCCCTGGATATATGCCATGTCATCCTGTACCGGTTCCATACAAAGAGGCTGAGGTTGGAGAGTCAGGGATCACAAACACCCCCAAGAGTAGGCTACTAGACACCAAAGAAGGTGTTCTCAACAGAGCAGGAGATGCTTTTGAGAGACTACCTGATGGAGGCAGCTGATTTATATTATGGTCTCAGCTCAAAGGAGGTAGGTCCACATAATTAAGGTAGAAGCACCTCTCAGAGAACAGTTTAATCCTTCACAGAGGATGATGCTGTGTGTGTTATCTGTTATCCTGTTCATTGCTCATTATTTGTTGGGGGATGTGTGAAACCCCATTCAAATCTTGTTGCCTTAGAATTTGACAGCTTTCCCTATGTGTTGTCATGCAGTGTGAAAAAGGTAACCGTTATTAACATGTTACAACCGTGCCTGGCATGTGTTACAACTGTCCCTGTACACAAGGACAGTTGTAACAGTTGAGTTAAAAAAATATATATACATTTTCCAACCTGTACTTATTTCATAAAAACATCTTAAATACATTGTTTCAGTAGCTGACATATTGATAATGTATAATATAGCAAAATGGCTATCCTATTGTAAATGGTTTTTTACTTATTGGGGAAAAACCCAAAAAGTGTTGCAACTGTCCCTGGTCTCCCCTACTTCAATGTATTGTAAGTAGTAGGCTAACTAAAACAAAGTCAAACAGTATCAATTTCATTAAGAACTAATGGTAATATTATATTCTTATCATTCATCAAAGATAGCAGAAAAACATGCATTATGG